GAAATTATTTAATTGCCAAGGGATGTAGCCAGTTTCTTCAAATTTTTAATCTCCTCTGTAGAAAGTAAAACAGACTGGGTATATGTCTTCCACATAAATGCTAGCATCTCATGCTGTTTAGCACTTTACATTTTCCTTCTTCATCAACAGTTACCACCTCCCTACTGAGTGAAAACTGGTCATATCTTCTTCATCACCTGTCACTGTTTAATTTGCTGTCACTTTCACTAATATTGCCTAACACCAAACAGTCTTGATGACACCCTCTCACTGCTGAAATTAAAGAAAAACAAAAACCTCTACAATTAGCTTCAGCAGGACCAGAATTTGCACTTCTAACCTCCCCAAGGTCCAGTAGTCCAGGGGACAAAAGTACAGAAGAACAGCTGGGTCTCTACATGCTGGGACTTCACTGAACCCAGAAAATTGCACAGTCAGGCTTAGCCTTCTTATCTCTTTGTCTTTTTATTTTCGTCCTTTCTTTTACTCTTCAGTTCTGTATTTCCTGCCTATGACTTTTCCCATCTCAGGTCAGCTGATTGATCCCCATCCACTTTTCCTCTCCCACATCTGAAATAGCTTTTCCAGAAACCGAAATACTCAGCTGTTATTGACAACAGATGCTGTTTCTGCCAAGAATTAGGGTTTTTTCCCCCCTTTTGTTTCATTTCCTCTCTTCTTTTTATCTGCCAGGGTCTTTTTCGTTTTGCGTGTGTCTTTTCCTGTCTGGTATCCTATTCTTTCACTTTTCTTCTTTCAAGACTGTTCTCCTCTCCCCTTTTCACTCATTTGTATGTCCTTGCTTCTGCTACTTACGTCCTGGGGTATCTCAAATCCTTTCTTTTTCTGCATTTCCCCCTCTCTCCCAGCTTTACTTTCCTCACTCCCCTCTACCTCCAGGTACCTGATGCAACTGTACAGACACCTAACTGCTGCTCTGCCTGCAAATCCTGGAAGGAGCTGACCAGCCCAAACGCCCATTGATGTCGAGAGGAGCTGCATGTGTCCTGCAGCCAACTACAATTCCCAGGCCATAAGGGGCTGCCTCTTCCCACCCAGCCTACTGTCTCATGTCTGCCTGGAACAGAAGTCTTTGTAAATAGTTACAGGAGAGCAAAACCATAAAATCATAGAAATGTTCTATAAAAAGGCAACAATATTTAGGTAAAACATTTAATAATAAGCTCCATAATTTAATTTTTTTTTCTATAATGCTCCATTCTCTGTCTACAGCTACATTGTGCTTTAGCACAAGCAAAATTAAAGTTAAAAGCTAGGCATTTCATAGCAGTGATGTGTTTTTAACCATTTTCATTGTTGCAAGTAAACATGAAAGCAATAATAATTCTCACTAGCTCACTCATCTTTTAAAGTGAAATTCTCTCCAGCAACACAGTAATGCTCTAACCCAGAACTTTTTAAAAATTGAAAACACATACTGTGCATTATATAAAATATATTATATTACACAATAAAGCACAGAGACATTTTAATCAACTCAATACTCTAGTGAAGTCCCGAGAGTCAAATAAATAATGGGAAGACGAGCATTCCTCTATCTAAATGCATTTTCTTCCCAGAACTACAGAAAACATGACACAGCACAGAGTTACCTGTGTCCCTCAGGGACAGACAAACATCACTTAAGCCTAACGTTCAGGGTCACCATAACGGGCCCAACCCGCTCCGTGCTGAAATCAACTGGGATTTTTCCTCCTGATGTCAAAACGGACTGTGCCTCAAGAGGCTTTAATAGCGGCTTGTGTGCTGAGGCCCTACTGTAGGTGAGGATCACAGAGGCCAGAAAGCTCCAGCATTAACCTGGAAAAGGGAGATCAAAGTCAACAGAATTACTAACTTTTTGCTTAGAGTTGAGCACCTTATCAAATGCCAGATCAGAGTCAAAACACCCACTCTCTGCGGTAAAGTCCTAAACCTCAGAGTGCACAGCAAGGTTCACAAGTCAGGAACGTCATTCCTCAACTTTTTAAATGATGATCATTTAGTTGCTGTACTTTGAAAAATAATTTTACAAAAATGCATGAGGGCGTTGAAGTGTTACCTTCTCTCAGGAAATTTCGTGAAAAAAAAAAAAAAAAATTGCTCTCCCTGCAGGTAAACAGCATTTTTCACTGCAGCACAAAAGACAACCCGGGTACCTACTAGCCCCAGCACCACTTGCGCTGCAGGATCTGTATTTGTAGCACAAACTTTATAAGTAACTCTGCTCATAGTGCACAGACTGGCTCTTATGATCCAAAATCACTTTCCTCCAGCCCTGATAACAGCAAAAACTTGTGTTTGCAGAAAAGCGAGCATGTGTGATTTACCACATAAAGGACAAGCTTAAACAACCAGCGCTGTCTTTCCAGTTACATTTCAGAGGAGAATCACCGTATTTCGAGCTTCCCATTATACTAATTTTGTTTAAGAAATTAAATAGCCCCAATTCCAAAGTTCTCCAAAGTGGTAGTGCGTGTATGGATATGTACGTATGTACGCTTTTTTTTTAAGTAGCCTGTTACAAAAAAAATACGTTCTTTTTAAAAATGTAGAGAAGTTACTGGCAAGTTCTAACCCTGAGCGCAATTCTCCTAATTTCTTCAACATGCAGTAAGCAGGTGGCTATGGCACTGTGCTGCTTGTATTTCTCACCAACCCATACTGTACTGTGCAGTATATATTATACTGTACAACAGAAACAGTTAATCTCTTTCTAAAGACATGTGAACCTTTTGTGAATGACCTTTCATTAAACTTTAAATTCCAAATTACGAAGGTCACCATTGCTCACAGAAAAGGTAGTCAAAGTTTTGAAGTCCTTTTCTGTGTAGCAATTTTTATCTATTTGCACACATACCGTACTGTTAGTTACTTTAAAGATTTCCTTCTGCAAATTAGTAACTTAAGAAACTCTTTGCAGATTTTCTTCCTTAAAATAAAATTTTACTGAATGAATGTCAACCTGTCAAAATTGCAGCTTTAGAGAAACTACAAGTAACAAGAAGGGCAAGTCTGGAAATCTGTATAGTTTTGGGTCTGCTTCTTTTGTTTCTTTGTTCATGTTTAAGAAGGCATTTGTACACTTAGGCAGCCTGATGAAATCTTAAAATGATTAAGATTCAAAGATGGGCCTTTGTGACCTTTATGAATTCCCAGGAATATCAACCAAGACCCAAAATGAAAACATACCTATTGTATGCTATATCACAGAACGTTTCAACATCTCCAACATTTTAACATTTTGAGTAAGTTCTAATGCCTGCTTATAAATAAGAGAAATCGAAATGGTTTTGCTCCGATTTCACCATCACCAAAGAACCCAACCAAGAGAAGCTAGTTACGACTCTGTCATTAAACACACGTTAAAGTTGGGAAGGTGATGGTACATTTTCACCCACTACAGTTAAGGGTCTCTGAAATACCACTGTCTGCACAGGCGTGCAGACCTATTACAAATAAAAAACGTGGTATTTGTGGTATTTGCAATCCCCCATAAGTCATTAAGCAAGCGCAACTTAGAATCTAATCTAGGTCTGCTTAAAGTGCAATCCTTTTGTGTACGCTCCTGCTTACAGGGAAAGCCAGCTCCCAGCACCAGGAGTATCAGATTCTTGCAGCATCCATGACACTTGTAAGCATTCAGTGGTCAGAACACCACTACATATCCTTCAAATGACATGGACCAGTGAAGCTGGAAGGTATCTTCACTGAACCAAGCCGTCTGGTATCTCAGCAATCCACCAGGACACGAGCCCTGGCATGCCCCAGGCGGCGTGCACAATTTCGACTGAGAAGGAGGTGGTGGGTTTTGCATTTTTGAAAGTCAACAGTTTTGAATACAGAAATGCAAAAGGTACACACCAGCTACAGCGGCGGCGTCTCAAAAATACTTTACACTGCAAAATGCTGGTATTCATTTTTTACTGTAGGATTTCAGAGTGAGAATCGGTTGGACAGCAAAGTGACAAGCACAACAGAACACTAACAGAGCAAGCTAGCCAGAGATAATAAAAGAAGGCACAGCATTTCCAAAGTTAAATCATCGGGGTACCTATTACAAGAAGATATAAAGAATCCTCTGCATTAACGCTAACAGAGCGTATTATCTAAAATATTTAATAATGTACTAGTTTTTCTTGTTGCTGTTAAGTCATTAATAATACCCCCCTCTTAGTTAAAAAGCTGAATAATACGACGTGTGCTTTGATTTCTGCGCTACCGTGCCACTGCACTTGGAAAATGGTATTATCTTTCCATTTTTGAATGAAATGAAGTCTAAACATATTTTAAAAGGAGAAAAATAAATATCCCCTTCATTTCGGGTATATTTACTGCTCATTAAACTACATGCCGTGCTTTCAGTTCCTAACACCAACCTCATATAGTGAATCTTTGACATCATGATTCATTACCTTATTAAATGAAAATAACTGACATGTCATAGATGTAAGGGCTCTGAAGTCACAAGTTTCCACGCACAATACAGACACCAGCCATACCGGGGTGTGCGCGGATATTGCGCTTATTTACGAAAATAATTAATTAGATTTAGGACCTGGATATTACAGCTCTAAGCGCCCTGGAGGTGCAACTCCTCGTTAGGGAGTAACACCGTGGGAAAAAAATAAGTAAACGTGGGCCTGCCACAAATAATCACAACAGGTTCCCAAGGCGCGGGCTCCCGCACGCACGGCGAAGCCTCACGTTCACGCGTTAGCCCCACGGGCCAGCCACGGCGACGGCGGAGGGAGCTGC